TCCATTTGGACCACAGATAGTAACGAGTAACGAGCCCCTTAGCACCACAGTAACAATAACGGCGTTACTGAATGGGAAAGGTAACGCGTTACGTTATTATTTACGGAAAAAAGTAGTTCCGTTACGTAACGCCGTTACAAGTAACGCGTTACTCCCAACACTGTTCCTATATATACAGTCTATGATTCATTCTTGTTGCCCGAAAGACTACAGTCAGGGAATTAAAACATAACTCCACTCTTCTTCTTTTTCTTCTAAGTTCTGTTTTTGTGCTGAGCGGTGCTGCCCGCTGCAGGTCAAGACTGTAAATATATATATGAAGGTCTTACCCCCTACAAAATATAATTATAATTACTCATATTGCAGATGACTAAACTTATATTTGAACATATAGGATAATAATAATTATGTCTTGTTTCCCCATGAAGTTTTTTTTCCTTGCAGAATGATAGTAAAAGAAATAAGCTCATACTGTATGATCATAATATTTGGACTTAGCAACGCATATTTACTTGAATTGTAATACTCTCTTTCACCTGCCACATATTAACAAAAGAGCCCACACTGCTCAGTTGTAAAAATAGGTGTCACACATGATACATTGTATAAATAATTTAATCCAAATAAATAAAGAATAATTACAAATTAAGAAAATTACAATCAGCATTATAAAATACATTTATATTTGATAACAAACAAACTGAAAAACGTGCAAAAATGTCAAAACATATAGTCTATACTGTAATGTAGGTGTTGCCCCTCTGTGTTGTAAAAGTCTCCTTATCAGAGCCTAATGACTTGTGTTTGCAATCCATATGTTAGAGAGAGCCATAAAAGGTCCATAGACCAGTCAGCCAAAGTTCAACATAATATTGTGGACTGATTTCCCAAAAAAACAACATTTGTTCTCCTGATAATCAACGTAGAGTAATGCCTAAAAATGGCACCACTTTTTGCTATGATACATGACATCCAGTGTTTTATAAAAAGGTTTAACGGAAAATCTTTTTCTGCTTTTCAGCGATGTCCGTCGGTTCCATGGCTTCAGGACTGACGTCTGTGTAGAGCGGCTGCTTGATGTGCCTCCAAATCACCAAAACAATCCTGACGAGGAACAGCACTGAGGCCAAAGCCAGCAGGGCAACTAAGAGAAGAAAACCTGGTTAGTACTTAAGATGGTATCTGAAATGTTCTCTTAGAATTTACTCAAAAACAGTAAAAAAAAAAAGTGTCATTATTGTTCGTCATTGTGCTTATTTACTTCTCTCTACCTGCCATGTTTCAGGAGACATGGCAGGAGATTACAAGCTGATTGTATCATACACATCCACCATATTTTATTAATATGGAGCTCTCTTCAGTGTCTTACCAATGAAGAAGCCATTGCGGTTGGGTGATTCAGCATCAAAGTTCTTGTCCAGGTTCCCAGTGAGCGCCCAGATCACAACCGGGTAGATGACGAGGACGTACCGCACGTGTTTGTCAAGCACAAAGTTCTCCAAAGCAAACCTGTGGGCAAACACATTCAGAATCTGCCAATAGCTTTGCATTACTTCTCTAATATGTATCATAAGTTAAGAGCACTTACCACACGAGCAGCACGACGATCAAAAAACAGTAGGAGATGGTTGCAGCGTCCAGCGGGGACATGCCCACGTCATAGGTCAGCACGATGGTCAGGTTGATCAGTGTTGCAATGGTCGTCCATGTTGTGTAGATCATCACACCGTTCTGAACCTGCAAGTGGAAAGAGAGTTGTTTAGTTTTGCACGCGGGTGGGGATCGTACTCTTAAGCCATATTATTTTTATGTGAAAAAGTAGACTTGTATAACCCGTCAGATGCAAGATTAAAGCTTTTTGTTGGTTTTCCCCTTCCTGTAGTGTTTCGTTTGTTTACTGACATCACTATGTAACACTGGCTAGCGCTCCAACACATTGTACGTGATAGGATAAGGGGCGGGACATCTCTAAGCGGCTGACCAATCACAACAGAGCCGGCCAGCTAACCAATCAGAGCAGACTGGGCTCTGGTTTCAGACAGAGGGTGAAAAGAGGTGCTGCAGCACAGGCAGTATGAGAAAAATAAAGAGCTTTTTGAACATTAAAACATGGAGACATGTCCCAGTAGAGACACTATTTTCTTTAATAATACTAACCAGCACACGGAGAAGCCACAAGTCGACCTTGTGGTATTTCTTGAGCCAGGCTCCATAAACATGAAGTCCATGGCAGATGAAGCAGATCATGGAGTAGTTGGTGCAGATGACCAGCACAAGGAACACCAGCGCAACGATCATTATTCTTATGAAGGGAACAGAAAGCAAAAACATGAATTTAACCGTGATCGCTCAAATTTGGTTGCTTATTTATTAGGGAATAATCAAAGGACTCTTACCCTTTGTCCCAAACAATTAGCCAGCAAATATTGAAACACAGATTAAGGCACCAGCTAATGAAGAATCCATACGGCAGAACGGCAGGGCTGCAGTAAACATAGCCATAACCATTCCTACAAGAGAAAAAGAACCACAGTAAGTCGGTGAAAACATCCACAGAACAGGGACCATCTATTATTTTCTGTGACTCTTAAAGCCCACGATACTCCCTGACAAAGAACATCTATAGATACTATTTGCACATTCTATTCTACACAGGTTTAAATGACAAAAAAGGTTTTAAAGTAGAGAGTAAAAGAAGTTGTCTGTACTTTCTGCAGAGTCCGGTGACAATGTATATCATCATCGCTATCAGCCAGACGTAGATGACGCTCCAGATTGTAAAGGTCCATCCTGACGGTGTGATCTGCGTGTCGAACACTGCGGACACATTGCCTGTCGTGGTGTCATAAGGACCTGAGGGGAGAACAATGAAAATATATATCAATAAAAACCAAAATGACCGAGCCCAATTCTAATCTTATACCTACTTGTATGTTAAATCAACAATTTAAATATGTAAACAAAGGTTTGACTTACCGAGTCCGACTACAGACAGCCCGTTGAACACCAGACTGATTGCAAAGCTGACAACGGAGACCACTATGGCAGCAAGACGGCCAGGATTATGCTTTCCCATTGTGGTCGACTGTGATAAATGATAATTATTTGAAAAGAAATAAACACTTTTTAGAGCTTAAAATATGCAATTAAACACATAAATCTCATATTGAAAGGGGAGATTACATTACACATACAGTATTTAAAGGTGACCTATCATGCAAAATGCACTTTTGTACGTCTTGTTTACATGAATATGTGTCCCCGGTGTTCCAGGGAACTCACCAAGTGTCAGAAAACACAACCCTCTCTATTTTCCTCCGTACCCAAATCTCTTAAAAAGGGGCTGCAACGGATCTGATCCAGACTGATCCAGATTTGAACACTTTTATGACGTCACAGAAGTGGCGCTACGGCTATTGGGCCAACTCCACCAATCAGGAGGAGACAGCCACGGACATTGCCGTTGGAAAGCGCTGGAGACGCTGTAGTACATATGCCAGGCCTGTAGATGGTGCTGTTCTCACAGAATCAGCCCATGATGCAAAGACAGTGTTAAATTGAGCGAAATGAGGAATGGCTAAAATGCATGATCTGTTTGGTATTTTGAAAAATAAAAAGTATAAATATGCCTTATATAGGTATGGTCCTACACTATATTATTCAAATATAGCATGATATGTCCA